AGACCCTCCGCGACCGCCTGCTTCGGTGCGGAGGAACAATCACTGAAGAAAGCTTCGTGACACTTGTCCTCGCCGGGCTCGGGCCAGAATGGAGAACCACACGATCGCTTCTTCGCGCCCACGGAAGGATTTCGGAGATGCACATCTGCGCCGAGCTTCACGCTGAACAACAGGAGATGGACCTGTTCGAAGAAAGACAACCAAGGAAGCAGCAGCAGTTAGTCTTCTACACTCAACGAAGAAACGACAACACCTACAATTGACGGGGCAAGCAAGAACGCGACAACAGGGGATTTACCTTCGTGCCGCCGTTCTGCCACAACTGCCAGACTTCCGGGCACTCCAAGGTCAATTGCAACCGCCCTCGCGTTTACCGTCCAGCAGACCCACAAGTCGCTTCCACTCAAGCAAGTCCCCCAAGACGCTCTTCAACATCTGCACAACAGACACCAAATATTATCAATTGCATGGTACACATCGACAACTGCGCACCCGGATCACCACCCACTTACGCGCCAGACGAAGAAGAGCTCCCGCCACCGCGCTCACAAGGCCTTCAAGTCAATCCAACATATGCTGCGGTTGCCAACGCCGAACCCACCGGGCGAAACACCTGGTTCTTGGACAGCTGCTGCGGGCAACACATGTGCTCTTCGGGACGATTCGTGCAACAGGAGAAACGCCTCAACCGCGACGTCGTCATCACCGTCGCCAACAACGAAAATCTGAAGACAAACAGACAAGGCGTGGTTCAGTTACAATCCATGGAGACAAACGTCATACTTCAGCTCAACAAAGTCCTCATTGTCGACAACCTGGGATACAACCTACTAAGCGTAAGCCAACTAATGGCCAAGGGGATTCACCTGGAGTGCGACTCCTACTCCAACGAGTTTCGGCTATACCACGGGAAGGGTGGCCTCTTCATCGGTCGTGCCCTCCTGAAATCCGGCGTCTTCGTGTTGGACTTCGTCCCCGACCGCGGTACTGCCGACAGCGACGGCATCGTATCATTCGCCGCCTGGACACACCCGCCGGATCTTGATCCAGAATTCGACAGTGACGGTTTCTAGCACTCCAACACCATACCTGCAGCAGAAAGAACACGAGCATTAGCAGTCATCAGACAAGAAAGACAAGTACCCGCGAGTATCCCAACCAAACCATCACCTGCAGTAGCAGCAGCAGGACTCAGCCGAGTCCCACCAACGGCGATCCGAGGACCGCCACCCGAAGCAGACCAACTTATGCCCATCACACGAGAAGTTTGTCGAAGTCCCGCCACAGTCGTCGCGTTCTTCTCCAACGCCGACATATACCACCGCTCGCCGGGTCATCGCGCTCCCGACGACATCTGGCACCAACGCCTCGGGCATCCTGCAAACAGCACGATACTACAAACAATCCAAGCAGAGGTGTTAGAACGCAACGCCCTCCTAACGACAAGCGGCCAAGAACTTCGACGACCGCGAGCACGGTGCTTCACGTGCCCCGAAGCAGATCTTCCCCATCAGCCGTTTCCATCTCATCACAACCCAAGCGCACCTACATACGCTCCGATGGAAAAAGTCTACAGCGATATTTTAAACATGCCTCGAGAAGACACCGAAGCCGACTTCAACTACGTCATCACGTTCATCGACGCAGCAACCAGATACGTCTGGCACTTCAATCTCAAGACGCGCGATCAAGCTTTCGACGCCTTCACAACATGGCTTCCCATCGCCGAACGAGAATCAGGAACCAAGCTCAAGAGCTTCCAGTCAGACGGTGCACTGGAATACCAGTCACAACGCTTCAGGACCTATCTGGCGGAAAGAGGAATCAGACGCCTGGTGTCTCTGCCCTATGCTCACCAGCAGCAGGGGGTCGCAGAACGCATGAACCGGACCTTGCAGACGACGATGCGAAAACTGCTTCTGGGGATGAGGCTGCCCACCACACTGTGGCCAGACGCGATGACACATGCAGTTTACCTGCACAACCTGCTGTCCTCGTCATCGCTTCCCAACAACGCATCACCGCACCTGTTGTGGACAAGAAAAAGGGGCAGCACAAAATTACTCCGAGTTTTCGGCTGCATGGTACAGTACAGACCCCACACAGCCCGAGCAGGACGCTTCACACAACGAGCTCGGTGGGGACTACACCTCGGCATCGCCAAACACTTTCACGCGTGGAAAATTCTCGACATACAGGACAAAAATACCGTGGCATCACGTGATGTTACCTTCTACGAGCGACTGACGCTGCAGCATTACCTGGACAACATTGCCAAACACACAAGACCCCACCGACGGCTTCTCCGGACTTCGTTCCTTCGCCGACCGTGCTGCCGAAGCTGACGCGGCAGAAGAAGACGTACCTGAAGCCTCGGAAACTGCCGGACCACTCCCATTCTGTTCCGTACCTGTTCCACTCGACGAAGACAATCCTCTCGATAGCAACAACCTCGACACATTTTACCACTTCGCTGACCAAGGTTACATTACACCCCACCCAGTCGACACAAATGTTTCAGAACGCATCGGTCCCAACTTCTTACCTGACCCAGAAGACGGTGACGAAGCAGCTTATTCCGGGAATGAAAATTCCCCTCGACACACACCAACGGGACTGCAGATTCTAGGCCTCTGGATCTCCGTCCAGCATCCGCCGCCGCCTTCTCCGCGAGAGCCTTCGACCCTGTCGCAGGCTCTGGGGGGGGAATATAAGGCAAAATGGAAGGAAGCGATGGAAAAGGAGTTAAAGGCTCTGCAAGACCGGAAAACATGGAAACTGGTACCTGCAACGAGCATCAACGGGAAAAACGTCCTCTCGGGGAAATGGGTGTACCGCATTAAGACCAACTCAGACGGCTCCATCGAACGATTCAAAGCTCGATGGGTCGTACGAGGCTTCGATCAACGATACGGGACCGACTACACAGAAACCTTCGCTCCAGTCTCCCGTCACACCTCATTACGCATCCTACTCGCCGTCGCGGCCACGAAGACATTACCACTACGCCAAATCGACGTCGCGAATGCGTTCCTATACGCACCTGTGGACGCCGAGATTTTCGTCGAACAACCCCACGGATTCATCGACGACCCCACGAAAGTATGCCAACTGACAAAATCCCTATACGGGATCAAGCAAGCCCCGCGGCTCTGGCAGCAGCATCTCCACGGCCGTCTCGCAAAAATCGGATTCCTACAGCTGCCGCATGACCAAGGAATGTACCGACTGCAGAAGGGAAGAGAGTATATCCTACTCATCGTCTACGTCGACGACCTGCTCTACATCGGCTCCACTACCGACATCGCCACCTGGTTCGAACGGGAGCTGAAAGAAGACTTAACACTCACGGTGTCCGACGAAGTGACCCAGTACCTAGGACTGAATGTCGACGAAAACGACACGGCGTTCTACCTACACGCTGGAAAGTACTCAGGCACCGTCGCGAAGAAATTCGGTCTAACACCGACTACTGTCCCAACTCCCTACCACTACGGGAACAACAACAGCACCTCCGCAAAACTCCCCGCGAAACAAATCCAGGAGTATCAACAGAAGCTCGGCTGCCTACTATTCGCAGCAGTAACCTGCCGACCCGACCTGTCCTATAGTGCGAGTCAACTGGCGACGCATCTGAAGCAACCGGAACAGGAAGATCTCGAGGAGCTCAACCGAGCACTACTCTACTTCGTCTCCACGCTGACGATCGGGCTTACCTACAGCAAAGCGACAACACCGTCCGTACGACTACTCGGATACGTCGACGCCGACCACGCGGGAGATAGGGAAAATCGACGATCTAGGACGGGCTACATCTACCGACTAGAACCCATCGGAACTATCTCCTGGCAGTCGAGCAAGCAGGAGTTAATCGCGCTATCCTCGGCTGAAGCAGAGTATATCGCCCTTTGTACTGCGACCAAGGAAGGACTCTACCTACGGGAGTTACTCGAGGAAGCGAAGATCGCGACCCTGCCCGCCTTCTCACTCCTCTGCGATAACCAATCTGCGATCAAAATCGCGAACAAGGACGGCTTCGCCAACCGAACTAAGCACATCGCCCTGCGGTACTTCTTCGTCAAGGATGAAATCGCGAAGGGGAGACTTCAACTCAGTTACTGCCCGACGACAGAAATGGCCGCAGATTATCTGACGAAGAAATTGGCGAAAGCAAAATTCGACTACTGCATGCTCCTGACCGGGCAAACAAACGTCACCGGATCTGAACACGCCAGCACTCCAGAAACAAAGGGGAGTGTTGGAAACATCTCAAAAGACTTAAGCGTTTCTGAAGTATAACACTGTACTCGAGGAAGATTACAGGGGAGCACGCGAGTCAACGGAGGTTGCACGAGGGGGCGGACAAAGAATGCGAAAAGACTCGAAAGGTCGCAACTGGAGGTTACGACTGACCGTTACAACATCACGGATGGTAACCGAAGCGGCAATCGAGTCGCTGTGCGACTCGATAAACCGTTCCTGTAACTGTATTCTACAACTGCTTTCTTATCTTCTATATATTGCTGTATGCTTGTTTCTTTAGTCAATCACTTGTTCTCATATACTAGTACAAGGGTTCAACTGCCTCAACTTCCGCTGCACTACTCAAGTCTCATTTTTCAACTGGGACTTAGTCTCTGGAAAGATCCTAAGGGCTTTTATCAGCCCAACACCTACAAAAAACACACTGTTCAACTAGTACATGCCCATTATTATTATATTTTTTTAAGTCAAGGGTTTACAATCTAACATGGGCATACTAGGACCTAGTGAAGCATACTCCTCTGCCTGCACGCTGTCGTGGTCTACAGGGGCATCGTCCTCTTTCTCTTTCCCCTTCCTGCTCTTCTGGGCTGTGCTCTGTGGGACAGTGCTGGAGGGCTTCCTCTTCTTGTACACTCTCCAGATGTCAATGATGGCATCCCAGTCCGGGTCGTAGTCTAGCAGGCTCATACACATCAAGTCTCCAAGGCATGAGTGTTAGAAAGAGAGAATGACTAGAATAGGAAGATACAGGGCAGTATAGCCTAGAGTGCTGTACCCTCTAAGGCACAGACCTGTATAGTCTACAGTAACAACATAAGTTATGTTCGACACACCCCCTAGACTATATAGGGGCAGTGCCTAACAAGGGAAGAAGCAGCTCAGGGCGGCACTACTAGTCCAGCCTTTGAGACAAGGGTCTAAAGACCAGTCAAAAGGAGTACAGACAAGGCAAGAGCAAGACCAGGGCGGCACTACTAGTCCAGCCACTGGGAGAGGCCACAGGGCCAGTCAGGGTAAAATATATATAAAGGACAGTACAAAGTCAAGGCCCTAGCAAGTGAGAGACTACAGGAACGAGACCTAGCTGTAAACAGTGCCGCTGATGATCTTTAGGCACAAGATGCTCCCTCTTAGCGGCAGACCAGTGCTGAGGTCGGTGTCTGCCTGTGGCCACAAAGCGAGCCAGGATGCTGAGAGGGTATGACGTTCTTGCTCACCGACTTGGGCGAGTGGCCTAGCTCTGCCCCGGTTCTGTACGCTGACAACAGGGCCATGATCCTCCTGTGTCAGGAGCCACGAATTGATGACAGAGCGAAGCACATCCAGCTGCGGTACTTCCTCCTGCGCGAGCTGCAGCAGCGTCGCAAGGCTTGTGTAGTACACTTGGCCTCAGGTGCCAACACAGCTGATATCTTTACGAAGGGGCTTGCGCCTAAGATCATCAGCGGCACTGTGTACAGCTAGGTCTCATTCCTGTAGCCTCTCACTTGCTAGGACCTTGATTGTGTAAGGACCTATATATATTACCTTGATTGGCCTTGTGGCCTCTTCCTAGTGGTTGGACTAGTAGTGCCACCCTGGTCTTGCTCTTGCCTTGTGTGTACTTGTTTGACTGGTCTTTAGACCCATGCCTCAGAGGCTGGACTAGTAGTGCCACCCTGAGCTGTTTGTCTCTCATTGGGAACTGCCCCTATCCAGTCTAGGGGGTGTATCAAACATATATTGTATGTTTCTTCAGACTATATAGGGTTGTGCCTTAGGGAGTACAACCCATTAGGTTATATTCCCTTGTATGCCTTGTTCTAGTCATTCTTTCACTTGAAGAGATAGTGCTGCTGGCCCCCCTGCCCCCCCTCAGCGATTTCGTCAGCGCTTTGAGGCAAGGGTCCGAAGACAATTCAGAAGAGTACAAACTAGACAAGAGCAAACCAGGGTGGCACAACTAGTCTGACCACTAGAATAGAAGCCACAAGGCTAGCCAGGAGAATATATATATGAGTAGTACACAATCAAGGCCCTAGCAAGTGAGGAGCTATAGGAACTAGACCAAGCTGCACACAGTGCCGCTGATAATCTTTAGGCGCAAGCGCCTTAGCAAAGATATCAGCTGTGTTGGCACCGGAGACCAAGTGTACTACGCGGGCTTGGCGACGCCGCTGTAAGTCGCACAGGAGGAAGTACCGCAACCGGATGTGCTTCGCTCTGCCCTCAAGTCGAGGATCCTGACACAGAAGGATCATGGCCCTGTTCTCAGTGTACAGGACCAGGGCAGAGCTAGGCCACTCACCTAAGTATGACCAGGGCAGAGCTAGGCCACTCACCTAAGTATTTTACGCATACCCAGGAGCAGTAAGTTACCTGGAGGTTTACCTGATATCTCGAAGCTGTTTCTTCTAGGAGGAGGGGAGGGGGAGAGGTGTAGCTGCGCTGCATTCGTCCTCTTCAATTTCATCATCACCAACCGACACCCTACATCATTACTGTTCATTCGCCCCCAAGAGCTTTCACCACTGCCCAATTCGGTCAGCCGAATAATCGACCAACATTTAACGGCCACGATCGATTGCGATCGTTTCGACAACTTTCAGCCATTCGATCACTATTCCAGATTAACGGCCCCGATTACGTTCGACAACTCAAGACAAGCGTCATGATGACTAGCGTGCGGTCATGCCACGTTCTACAGTCCAAGCCATCCTGCCAAATTAAAGTCATCGTCAGCCGTTCGATCTAGTCTAGAGACACCCATCAGATCAACCTTGACAATTTCGCCATCGACATTGCTGACTCGCGATAATCGCCCAATGGTTAAGACATCTCTCGACCAATTACAGCCGTCGGATTTGGCTTGCCCAAGACTCGTCAGGACGGCGTTATCATTACGCTCGTCAGAAGATTTAAAGACCTAGAGTCACACTCGCGATTGGATTATTAATCCGTCGGAGTATTGTTTCTAGTGTAGGGAGGGCTTTTTAAAAGGTGGGAGAGTGTAAGGAATTACAATTCCTTACTGCGTTAAATTACAGCGCGTACAACCGAAGACCTTGACCTCGCAGGTTCGGCCTCGATTTTCGGCCCAAACCTCCCTGAGTCGCGTTCCGACACCCTCGCCACCCTTCCATCCCAACCTCACGTCCCGAGGTTCTCGCCCTAGCACGTACGATCCCTACTTTAGCCTGTTCGCTGGTCACTTGCTGATCAATTATTATTCCTAGGTTGTATTTCCATTATTTAGTCGATTGTTCCATTACCACTTAGAACAATAGTGGTGTGCTTCTTGATTGGAAGCCATCATATGATTTCTAGTAAAACTACCTTGCTACTCTCACCTTTCAACTCTTCCAAGAATACCTCCTAACTCTACTACCGTAAAAGCCCGGATAGAAGACCCCCTAGTAATAGAAGATCCAGGGTCTTGTATTAGGCGTCTATCTTGTATTCAGAACTCCTGTTTATAAGACACCCTCAAGGCGGTATGAGAGAAGACCCTCCATTCTTTAGTGTTTTTTATTCCCGCAAAGCAAGAACTGGGTCTCGCACAAACGAGTTTTATTGACTGAGACGATGAACGGTTGGGATTAAGCCCGAGCGGGGTGTTGTTGCAATTCGCATTTTCATCACACGTGTTTTACTGTCACAATTGACTTCCGCAAATTTTCCCCATTCCGCTGAATTCTCGTTATCAGATGACTCGATATGTTTTAGTTCACCTCTCGGGCCGTTTTTCCGGTGAACTTAAGAGGATTCCGTTTATAAGACACTCAAATGCCCCATTTTTTCCATTTATAAGATGAATGTAGTTTTGAATGGTGTTTTGTGATAAGACCCATAGGTCTTATATCCGGGCTTTTACGGTATTACTCCAAACAGCCTAGTGGCTGTTTCATCTCGGCAAATCAAACAAGGCGGCTACGCATAGTTTGGCCCATAGCTGACCACGTCGCGGGAGTTCCTTCTCCAGTGAGGTGGCTTGTGTCATCCTATTTTCCATTCCGCTTACTGTCTCACTTGCGTTAGGTATATCTACTGTCCAGGGCCTCAGATTGGTTTTGAGGTACCCTGATTGCTCAGGGTCCCCCCCCCATGTTTACCCTGATTTTTCAGGGCTCCAAAAAAAAAATCCGCTGAGTAATCAGGGTTTCTTCAAAATTTTACGCTGATTTGACGAAATTGGGAGATGGGTGGATCGACATTCGGGGAGGGCACAGACGGGACGGAATGGGGGTGGGGGGGGAGGGAGGGAGGATTCCCGCGGGAATTATGATGATGCTGAGCCCATCAAATTTTGCGGTTACACTTTCAGGAAGCCTCAGCCAATCATATTTTGCCGAACGACCCAATCGGATAGCAGAGCAAAATTGCAGGGGCGGGAGGAAATCTCGCCCTCACAAAGCCGCAAGGCACACATTGGGCCCTGAATGTGGCGAAGGGTAAAAAATTCCCCTCACAAATCCCCCAGCACACGCTAGCCCTAAAATTGGCTAAGGGCCAAGTGCCCTCACACAACCCCCCAGCACACATGGAGCAGGGGAAACATACAGTCATTATGGCCGGGCCCCAAATCACGCTGTTACAGGATTCGGGGTAGCTGCCCGTTAGGCAGATGATACAGGGACCTCTACAATAGCAACGCTGTACAAACAGAGTTCACTAAAAAAAAAGCCCTGAAATTTCAGGGTTGTGTAAAAAACAAATCCTAGCCCATCAGGGTTGGTACCAAAAAAACCTCTGAAAAAACCCTGAATCAGGGAAATTTGCCTGAAATCTGAGGCCCTGCTACTGTCCATTGAACCGCCACACTGTCTGCGACATGACGGGACAGCCTGGAGGTGTGCAGCCTGTCCCTGTCATCCGCCGCCCTTCAGCTCCAAATGCTGTATCTTTCTGTTGTGTCGGCCGGCGTGTTTTAGAAGTGTCCACCAGCTTACGGATGGGTAGCGCACAGGGGGCGGCGCTTGTGGGACTTTCGCCATCTATTTTCGCGTCCTGTTAGATGCGGCACAGAAGACAATGTCGGTGTGAAAGCGTCTAAGCAAATGGTGTAGCCGAGAGCCGCGGCAACCGTTTCTCGCGTTGCGGTAGCCTGATGGAGGAACAAATCGGGCGTCGCGGCACTGTGCTTATGTCAATGACGGTCCGTCCAATTGGTAGCGGCAGGGCGGGCGTCTGGCAGCCTGGCGCGGCATCACGTCGGGAATAGGGATCATCTCCTCAACCCATCAACGAGGCTCGGCGGGGCCTCCTGCGTGGTTCGGAGGAACCCACGGTGGGCGAAGGGTATCCTACTATCCTCCCTCAGTACTGTACTGTACAGTACTACACTTCGGCTGCCGTTGACTAACCTTACAGCCTCCCTCACTCCTTCCTGTGCATAGTCCAAAGTTGACGTCTACTCATCCCCTTCGACATCCAAAGTCAACGCCCCCCCCCAGTTTGGCCCAGGATGCACTGCGTATGCCGAGCCTCGGCGCGGGCGGGAGCAAGGAGCAAGGGGAGTGTCGTTCCCGAAGAGCGCCGCTTTGCGCTGGCACGTACGCGCGCACCCAACCCAACCAACCGCGCCGCGGTTGCTGTACGGGGGGCTACGGAGGCGGGAGGCTTCGGTACGGGGGGAAGCTTCGGTATGGGGGGAGGCTTCGGTTAGGGGGGAGGCTTCGGTTATGGTTGAGGCTTCGGTACCGGGGGAGGCTTCGGAATGGGCCGGAATGGATAATAGGGAGTCGTCAGGATAGCCGTGAACACTTCTCTCCTCTATCCGTCCGAGACGAATAGACACTCTGCTACTCGTGCGTCTCTGCTAGGCTGCAAGCAAGAAGGCCTCTCGCAATGGCGCGGCTGCTTCCCGCTCTCGCCTTGGCTGCTGCCTTGAATCTCGCGCTTCTCTGTGGTATGCCCACTTTCCCTCTTTTAAGTCGACTCAAAAGCCATTGTCTCTCTCTTTCGCGTTCCATCCTGCTCCCGTGCTCCTGTAACCTGTTTCGCTCATCCTGTTTGTGTTACTTGCGTTTTCGCTAATTCTCGTTTCTCACGTCACCCCGCGTTCATTCGTCCGCAGGTTCAGAAGCGCTTCGCCTGACACCCAATGCCACTGCCAAAGCTGTTGCCAACGCCACGGCCCGCCACGGTGTCGCCAAGCCCACTAGGGTACGTGAGTCGCCTTTTGAGGCGCCTCAAAAGCTTGCATGGCGCCCAACACACTGTCACTTGGCGCCTCACAGTTCGCATCGCACCCCATCAGTCGACTTTCGCACCCCATCAGTTGACCTTCGTACCCCATCAGTCGACTTTCGTACCCCATCAGTTGACTTTCGTACCCCATCAGTTGACTTTCGTACCCCATCAGTTGACTTCCGTTGCCTTTTCACATGGCAGGGTCCGATTCGCATGTATTTCGGTTTAGGATCTCATTGGAGCCACGTCTACAAGGCCCAGCCTGATGATCGCATTGGTGCGTGCCCTTTCCCTCCCACTCTCCCTCTCTCTCCCTACACCCCCCTCTCTCTCTCTCTCTCTCTCACTCTCTCTCACTCTCACTCTCTCACTCTCTTCTCCTCTCTCTCTCTCTCTCTCTCACTCTCTCTCTCTCTCTCTCTCTCTCTCTCTCTCTCTCTCTCTCTCTCTCTCTCTCTCTCTCTCTCTCTCTCTCAAGCGGTCCTTGTATTGATTGAGAACGTTGTACATACTAAGCATGTGGGCAAATTTCAAACCTATCAAATTTCACTCTCTCTCTCTCTCTCTCTCTCTCTCTCTCTCTCTCTCTCTCTCTCTCTCTCTCTCTCTCTCTCTCTCTCTCTCTCTCTCTCTCTCTCTCTCTCGTTATCTTATGCTCCTTCACTTGCGTTTTCTTATGCTCTCCCTTTCTCTCTCTCTCTCTCTCTCAATTGGTCTCTCTCTCTTTCTCTCTCTCTCTCTCAACTGGTCTCTCTCTCTTTCTCTCTCTCTCTCAACTGGTCTCTCTCTCTTTCTCTCTCTCTCTCTCTCAACTGGTCTCTCTCTCTTTCTCTCTCTCTCTCTCTCAACTGGTCTCTCTCTCTTTCTCTCTCTGTCTCTCAACTGGTCTCTCTCTCTCTCTCTTTCTCTCTCTCTCTCAACTGGTCTCTCTCTCTTTCTCTCTCTCTCTCAATCAACTGGTCGCTCTCTCTTTTCACTCTCTCTCTCAACTGGTCGCTCTCTCTTTCACTCTCTCTCTCAACTGGTCGCTCTCTCTTTCTCTCTCTCTTTCTCTTTCTCTCTCTCTCTCTCTCTCTCTCTCTCTCTCGCAACTGGACTCTCTCTCTTTCGCTCGCTCTCAACTGGTCTCTCTCTCTCTCTCTCTCTCTCTCTCTCTCTCTCTCTCTCTCTCTCTCTCCCTCTCTCTCTCTCCCTCTCTCTCTCTCTCCCTCTCTCTCTCTCTCTCTCTCTCTCTCTCTCTCTCTCTCTCTCTCTCTCTCTCTCTCTCTCTCTCTCTCTTTCTCCCTCTCTCTCTCAACTGGTCTCTCTCTCTTTCTCTCACTCTCTCTCAACGGGTGTCTCTCTCTTTCTCTCGCTCTCTCTCAACGGGTCTCTCTCTCTTTCTCTTGCTCTCTCTCAACCGGTCTCTCTCTCTTTCTCTCTCTCTCTCCCCCTGCCTTTCATTCATCGTCTAGTACACTTATGATTTATTGTGCACACGTAACCTTATACCGTATGCCTGCTTTTTCTATTGGGCGCACCAAACTAACCCCCCTGTGCAGTGTTTGAGAACCAAGGATTCACCCCTGGGAAGGCGCTCTTTCAATTCTTTTCTCAACGTGACATGGATGAATGCGACTACTCTGGTGCAAGGAAGCTGAAGGAGTTTCACCAATTTGGCGAGACCTACAGGTACGCATTTCTGATTTCCATGCATTTCCTGGAATTACCACGTCTGCAACATGCGATGGTTGATGATCCTTGCACTCCTTACTCTTTGGTTGTTGTATTGCAGCTTCACTGTGCCATACACTAGCGATGGTGGCTATCTGTACTTCGGCTCCAACCGTATCCTATGCATGGTCTTTCGTGTCGCGTTCAGGGTCCCTGTTGAAGCATACTCACCAGGCTACTAGGCCATCCCATGCCAGTGCCACCTAGGGTGAGGGTCATTGTCGCCCTACGCAGCTGTGCTAGGTCATGTTGTCTTAGGCCCTTACATGCAGAAATTCGCTCCAGCCAAGATGGTAATTTGAAAACCATGTCATTCGAGTTTGCATTGACAATCAGGCCTGACGTTTCAAAACCCCCCCCCCTGAGCTGTGGACTAAAAAAAAAAAAATTACCTTAGGGCTCAGTGTTCAAAATTTGCCTACCCTGATTTGTAAGTGTTCAGAAATCAAGAACCCTGAAAATCCCAGAGTTCACCGAACGCATTCAGGGTTGCCTTCAACACAAGGGGGGAACAAAAAAATGGGGGGAAAAAGGGGAGGGAATCAAACCGAGGGGAGGGGAAGAGCGAAACGGAGGGGAAGGGGGAGGATGGAAACCAGGCCCCCAGATTGGTTTTGGACCACACTGATCGATCAGGCTCCCCCCCCAAAAAAAAACCTTTCGTCAGGGTCGGTACCGTATTTTACCCTGAATTTGCAGGGTCGGTACTGTGGAGAACACTGAATGATCAGTGTTGGGCTGAGAAAAGCCCTTGGGATCTTTTCAGAGACTAAGTCCCAGTTGTAAAAGACTTGAGTAGTGCAGCGGAAGTTTGAGTAGTTGCACCCAGGCCCCCAAATTGCAGCCTTTTTACGCTGATTCAGCCTTTTTTCAGGCCTTTTTCTGGTACCTACGCAGATTGCTCAGCCTTTTTTTTTTACCCTTACCCTGATTTTTCAGCAAAGTTTTGTGTTCCTACGCTGATTTTTCAGTGTTTTCGTACAAGTGTACACTGATGCCCCAGCGCTATAGGGGGGCTGTACCCTGAACACAAATTTCGGCTAAGTCCCCCATATCTAGAGACAACCCTCCCACCCACGCACTTCGCAGCCGAAATCGGGGGGAAGAGGGGAGGGATCAAAACCGAGGGAAGGGGGGAAGCAAAACAAAGGGGAAGGGGGGATCGAAACGGAGGGAACTGTAGGGGGGAAGGAAAACAGATGGGAGGGGGGAAGCGAGACGGAGGGGGAGGGGGGAGGGAGACAGAGCCCTCGCAAACCCCTCGCAAACAACCTAGGAATTAGTCATATTAAATGTCTCGTTACTATGTTCAATGGAAACTTTGGTTCAGCGTAAAATCCAGGTGCAACGCTGATTGATGAGCGAAATTTTTTTAGGCTACCCTGATTTTTCAGCCTTTTTTCGGGGGGCGACGCTGATGACCAACCCAAGGAATGGCAGGGGACACTGAAGGATCAGCGTCCCCCAAAACCAATTTGGGGGCCTGGTTGCACCCTTGTACTAGTACCTATATGAGAACAAGTGATTGATTAAAGAGACAAGCATACAGCAATATATAGGAAAGTAGGAAAGTAAAGCAGTTGTAGAATACAGTTGCAGGAACGGTTATCGAGTCGCACAGCGACTCGATTGCGTTCTGCGACCCCTTGCTGCTGGTGAGCGTAGGGCAGAGACACCAGGCGTCTGATTCCTCTTTCTGCCAGATAGGTCCTGAAGCGTTGTGACTGGTATTCCAGTGCACCGTGTGACTGGAAGCTCTTGAGCTTGGTTCCGGATTCTCGTTCGGCGATGGGTAGCCATGTCGTGAAGGCGTCGAAGGCTTGATCGCGCGTCTTGAGGTTGTAGTGCCAGACGTATCTTGTTGATGCGTCGATAAACGTGATGACATAGTTGAAGGCTGCTTCAGCGTCTTCTCGAGGCATGTTTAAAATGTCGCTGTAGACTTTTTCCATCGGTGCGTATGCAGGTGCGCTTGGGTTGTGATGAGATGCGAAAGGCTGGTGGGGAAGATCGGCTTCGGGGCACGTAAAGCACCGTGCGCGTGGTCGTCGAAGTTCTTGGCCGCTCGTTGTTAGGAGAACGTTGCGTTCTAACACTTCGGCTTGGATGGTTTGTAGTATTGTACTATTTGCAGGGTGCCCGAGTCGTTGGTGCCAGATGTCGTCGGGAGCGCGATGGCCGGGCGAGCGGTGGTGTATGTCGGTGTTGGAGAAGAACGCGACGACTGTGGCGGGACTTCGACAGACTTCTCGTGTGATGGGCATAAGTTGATCTGCTTCGGTTGGCAGTCCTCGAATCGCTGGTGGTGGTACTCGGCTGGGTCCTGCTGCTGCTACTGCAGGTGATGGTTGAGAAGGGATACTTGCTCGTACTTGTCGTTCTTGTCTGATGACTGCTAATGCTCGTGTTCTCTCTGTTGAAGGTATGGTGTTGGAGTGCCAGAATCCGTCAGGGTCGAAGTCGGGGTCAAGATCCGGCGGGTGTGTCCAGGCGGCGAACGACACGATTCCATCGCTGTCGGCAGTACCGCGGTCGGGGACGAAGTCCAACACGAAGACACCGGACTTCAGGAGAGCACGACCGATGAAGAGACCGCCCTTCCCGTGGTAAAGGCGAAACTCGTTGGAGTAGGAGTCGCACTCCAGGTGAATCCCTTTTGCCATTAGCTGGCTAACGCTTAGTAAATTGTATCCCAAGTTGTCGACGATGAGGACCTTGTTGAGTTGAAGTATAACATTTGTCTCCATGGATTGTAACTGAACCACGCCTTGTCTGTTTGTCTTCAGGTTCTCGTTGTTGGCGACGGTGATGATGACGTCGCGATTGAGGCGTCGCTCTCGTTGCACGAAGCGTCCGGAAGAACACATGTGTTGACCGCAGCAGCTGTCCAAGAACCAGGTATTTTGCCCGGTGGGTTCGGCGTTGGCGACCGCAGCGTATGTCGGGTTGACCTGAAGTCCTTGTGAGCGCGGCGGCGGAAGTTCTTCGTCATTTGGTGCGTAGGTGGGTGGTGATCCGGGTGCGCAGTTGTCGATGTGTACCATGCAGTTAATGATGTTCGGTGTCCCTTGTGCAGATGTGGAAGAGCGCCTTGGAGAGCTTTCTTGAGTGGAGGCGACGTGTGGGTCTACTGGACGATAAACACGAGGACGTGTGCAGTTGACTTTGGAACGTCCGGAAGTCTTACAGTTGTGGCAGAACGGCGGCACGAAGGTGAGTCCTCTGTTGTCGCGTTGATCTTGCTTGCCGCGTCTATTGTAGTTGTTGTCATTCCTTCGTTGAGTGTAGAAAACTAACTGCTGCTGCTTCCTTGGTTGTCTTTCTTCGAACAGGTCCATCTCCTGTTGTTCAGCGTGAAGCTCGGCGCAGAGGTGCATCTCCGAGATCCTTCCGTGGGCGCGAAGAAGCGAGCGTGTGTTTCTCCATTCTAGTCCGAGCCCGGCGAGGACAAGCGTCACGAAGCTTTCCTCAGTGATTGTTCCTCCGCACCGAAGCAGGCGGTCGCGGAGGGTCTGGCAGCGACTCATATACTGCATCGCCTTTTCCCCGGTCTTCATCTGTATTGTTGTCAGTTGTTGCATGAGCCTGCTTTGTGTCACGCTGTCGTTTGCTTGATAGAGACACTTGAGATGATGCCATGCGAGTTCCGCGGAGTTTCCATAGCTCCGATATGTTCTGATGCTCTGCTGTTCTTGTGGTGACAGGTTCCGCAGGAGAACTGTGTACACCAGCAGCGACTGATAAGTAAATATTTCTTGCTCCTTTGCAGTGCCGTTGCTTGGGAATGGCAGGGACCCGTTGAAGTATCCCAGGAGATGCGCAGCCTCCATCAGCAGCTCGAACTCAAAACTCCAAGTAAAGAAATCGTGTCCGTTGAATGGTGATGAAGTCTGCAGTTTGATCACATGTGAAAACTGCGCCTGGAGACTTAAAATCTCGTTTGGTGTTTGTTGTGATGCAGCTGCTGTTGGTTGGGCACAGGGCGGCATGAAATCGAACGTCCCCGGTGAAGAGTGATAAGGCGCAAAGGTAGGCGCTTGATTGTGTCGCCCGAATGATAAATTGTCGAGGCTCATTGGTGCTAATCCCATGTTTCCTCCGTTGCTCTGTGTTGAATGCGCAGGTGTCCTTGTCTGCTGCTGCTGGTCGAAGTGCGATATGAAGCTGAAGAACCTTTCCATAAGGTTCGGATCCACGCTTGAGGAGGGTGATGGGGTCACCATCTTTGGTGCTCTTCCTGTTGTTTCTTGAGCAGCGCCGGTCTCGGTTTGCAGTCCTGAAGTATGCAATCCAGAGTTGCCGGGTTGAATGTCTTGGGCGCTGGGTGTGCCCGTAGAGGTCTTCTTGCCCTTGCTGTCCATGACTTGTAATCGATGAAGTCGTTGAATTGCAGATTGTAGATAGAACGTAGTTGCTGGGAGTTTGGTCTCTGACCAGCTCTCATACCATGTTGTGCTGAGAAAAGCCCTTGGGATCTTTTCAGAGACTAAGTCCCAGTTGTAAAATACTTGAGTAGTGCAGCGGAAGTTTGAGTAGTTGAACCCTTGTACTAGTATATGAGAACAAGTGATTGATTAAAGAGACAAGCATACAGCAATATATAGGAAAGTAGGAAAGTAAAGCAGTTGTAGAATACAGTTGCAGGAACGGTTATCGAGTCGCACAGTGACTCGATTGTCGCTTCGGTTACCATCCGTGCTGTTGTAACGGTCAGTCGCAACCTCCAGATGCGACCCTTCAAGTCCCTTCGCGTTCTTTGTCCATCCCCTCGTGTAACCTCCGTTGACTCGCGTACCCGTTGTGATCTTCCTCAAGTGTAGTGTTACACTTCAGAAACGCTTAAGTCCTTTGAGATATTTCCAACAATCAGGGTAAAGGTGGGAATGGACACTGATTTTCCTAGGACATACTGGCTGGCAGTAAGTCACCTCACCACCTTTCCAAAGCTCCTTACAACATTATTGTTCACTATGAATGAAGAAACCAAATTCTCTACAGAAAGACTTTAATAGCGTCTAGCTGCACGTAACATGTGTGGCACTCTAGATGACCATGGCCATCGGCCTATCAGCAGCAGTCTACTCTACTCTAGTACCAGTACTATAGGTTCACGAACTAGTGCCTAGTAATTTACTGTCACTACTACCTAACTGCACTACTCGTCCTCATCGTCCCAGCGGTCAGCAGGGCCATCACCACGGTGCTCGGTCTCTTCCTCCGTCCACGCCTCCTGCCCGTCATCCTCCTGTTGTGCAATCTCCTCGTCAATCTTCTCCTTTCCTTTCTTTCTCGCGGGCTGCTTCTTCGGCCTTGCATCAATATTGAAGGGCTTTCTCTCCCTGTAGTTGCG